CCCCCCCCCACCCCAGAGGAAAGGCTGAAGTATTTCCCAAAGGTGTTTCTTCCCCAGGTCTAAATCCTGGCTTCTCCCTTTTGGGGTCTGGAGATGACTCTTGCCACTCGTGTGTCAGTCAGCGCTGCTCCCTCCCCAATTCCCAAGCTGTCAATTTGGAGCCCTGCTCTCCTGGGGGACAAGTGACCTGACACTCCTCTCACCGGCCCTGGGCTGCCAGCTCTATCTCTGCACATTTAACCCCCCTGGCAAACTTAATTCTATTTGACAGTAAAAGAGGCTGTGAGCCCATTGTGAATCACAGCCACTGATGCCTGACTCTATGTGCTGGGTCAGCAGGAAATTTGGGGCTCCCTCCCCCAAACCAAGCAGGCTCCTGGCAAAAAGGGCGGCAGAAAGTAGCTCCCACAGCTGCACCCAGGAGAGGCCAGGGCAGCTCTGCACCAGTCCCCTGCAAGGACAAGGAGACACTCAGGCTAGTGTAAGCTTAAAAAAAAATAGGCTTTTTTTTGTTTTTTTTTTTTATTCAAATGTAACTAAAGAATTATGACCCAAGAGAGGAGAGATTACTCACATTTATCGATACACTTATTAGATTACTGCCTAAATAGCTGTGCTTTAGCAGCGTGTTTGTCCGTCTCAAGGAGAAACAGAGAAGGGAGGATGGTGCATCTGAGACCTCATCGTCCTTGGTGGCCTGGGGAGCTCTGAGCATTGCGGGTCTAGGCGCTGTATCACATCACCTAATACATGCCTGTCTTTACCATTTACAGCTTCTTGGGCATGTTAAGAGGCAAAAGCTTGTAACATTTTACTTAGCTGAATAGCTTTTCTAGGGCTGAAAGCCCTCTTCCCTGCACAGACATGTTCAGTGAGGGAGCACTTACCGAACTCCCCCTTGATGACAGCTGAATATGTGGCACTGGCTGCTCCAGGCAGCACCGAGAGGGAGCCCAGCTCCCCTTGCAACAGGCTTGCAGACCCTCTGCTCTGGGCCACAGCACTGCCAATGTGCTCCGGCGCAGGCTGGGGGAGGCTGGTGGCACTTCTGGCCCCCACGGGCTCAGGGGCACGAGCAAGGATGGTGCCCCCCACCCCCCACCCCCCCAACCCAAAAACACTGTTCACGGCTATTGCTAGGGTTAGGGTGGGGGATCTATGGCGGTGGCGCTTGGGTTGCGTTTCATGTACCTGGGGATGTGGCAGCCAGCTAGCCTTTCTGTCACTGTTAAAGTTCAACTACCTGCACAAAGCGGGCTTGGTTCTCAGAAGTGCTAGGTTAATTAGTGTTACCATTCACCCTAAAGAGGCAGTTGCCAGTGACTTACACAAGGAGCTCTTGCTGGGCACCAGTGTACCTGCTGAGCCCAAAGCGTACGAGGGGCTCATGGATGAAGCAGCTGTGGGAGACGCAGGTTTGCCCTCACAGGTAGCAGTCAAGTGAGGAAGTAGGAGTGCTTGATAATCCTCCTTTTAGCAGTGATGGAGGAAAACACAGCTCTTCCAGGCAGATCCAGCTCTCGGGAGGCTCCAGTTCTCATCCCTGCTATGACACAATGGGGGTGTCCGAGAAGACAGAGCTGATGGACTCTGAGTCTGACTTGAGCTGCAGCACTTTGGGGTGCTTGGCATCAGGGAACTCTTCGCCAGGGGCCAGGCGAATCTTGCCATTCTGCGTCTCCCTGATGGGCTCAAGGAAGACCACGTGCTTGTTGGTGCTGACCTTGCGGTTTGGCCCATCTGAAGCTGGCGGAGTGGTGCTGAGGATGGAGGACTGGGCGCTGCACTCTTGTGGAGGGCTGAGAGGAGCTGGTTTCTTGCAGCACTTCAGGCAGCGGCATGGTGTGAGATATAAGTAAATGAGCACAAGCAGCAGACTGACTATGCACCCCAAGAGGGTTGTGAGGCCTGTGCTGAAAGTCTCCCCATCTGGCTTGGGATAGTGGACAGTCACATTGACTTCACACATCC